AAGAACCTTTACATTATATGGTGGTTCTTTCAGCTTCTTTCTCCCATCCATTGAAACCCAGATAGACAGTTCTGGTCCACACTTAGGCCACTACTTTCACCCGGCCTGCATACCACCGTGGAATGACGCCTATGACTTTGTCCAAATCCAGGCGCCAGAATGTTACCTTACAATTCAGTGTTCAGTGAACACAGCATTTTAAGTGTGACACAAATCATTAAAAACATCTGGATTAACTTATGGTTTAATTTAAGCTATTATATTTTGTAGCGTTAGTACTGAGACAGATTGTGTTAGACTACCCAACATTAAAACATGTCACATAGGCCAATGTACTGCTGCATCTCAGCCAGAAGTGGCCCAGATCTGTTTTCGGACACGTGGGCCAAATAAGCATGTTTTAATGTGGGCTCACATGTATTTTGCCCGTGCCGGCGGTGGGCCAGCGGTGCCATATGTTTGCCAGAAGTGTCTCGCCACCTGGGAAGGTTCTTTCCCTGTGGAAACTCGCTGCAAAAACCCCTTTTCTTCCAATGTTTTGTAGTAGACGCAGAGATAAAACCCAGATTAGCCATAGCAGGTTAATAGGGTTACATCATTTGAACAGTTCAAAATCTCTGCATTTTGGCTGAGCATGATGTAATGGGGTGGATCGTCCAATCAGAGACGGCGTAAAAGCCAAACTGAATAGGAGTTTCTTGAATCAGGAATATCCCTACGACGATGATGTAAATGCTGTGCTCAGGGCCGGGTGCTTGGAAGAGAACACCTTTTGTGTGTGTGTGTGTGTTTGCGCTTGTAGCAGCAGTGCAAAGTGCTGTTATGCGGGGGTGGAGTGAGTAAGGGAGAGAGAGAGGGAAAGAAAGTGAGAAACGGAGAGAGAGAGAGAGAGAGAGAGAGAGAGACAGAGAGAGACAGAGAGAGAGAGAGAATGAAAGGGAGAAGAGGAGGAGGGCTGTGCTTCTAATAATAAACCAGAGAGAGAACACAGTGATTGAGGTACAGAACATTGAGAGAGGCTAGGTAAACGAAAGTGTGCAGGAAGAAGAGAGGGATGAGGAGAGGATGAATAAAACTGAGTAGAACGGCTGGCTCTGAACATAAAAGACGTGACATTAAAGCAGGTGACGAAAACTCAAAGCAGAGAACATTTTGCTATTCGGCGCCCGGCGAGAATAAATCTGTCCAGACAAAGACAAACACCGACGTCAGGCGAAAAGCACTGCAGCGGCCATGAGGCTCTTTTTAAACTTGGTTAATATTCTCAGCCTGTTTTTACAACACGGCACTAAGATCACTCTTATATTCGGTTCCGACTGCTCGGCTGATCTTTGCCACTGCCAGGCAGATCAGGATCGTTCATTCCCACAACACCGTCCAATTACTGCTCTGCATTAACAGGCATTTTAGCTGGGCTTCTCTCTAATGGATGGCACTGTCAGTCACCCCTGCTGTTTATGTAATCAGGGCTCCTGCAGGAAAATGCCTATTACACACGAGCACAAAGGCAAGGGCTCCAACGGCTGGCGCACACATTATCACTCTTTCAAATAACATGCTTTGTTTCCCAGAAGGCAGAGCCACTGATTGACAGTTAGGAAGAGCCTCTGTGCAGAGTATCATTTACAGGATTGCGGCACTGCCGTAGCTGCAGCAGCGCTGGCCGACGTCTGCCCCCTAGTGGCTGGAAATGTGTAAGCACACACTTTGTCCCTGCTGTGGCTTCACATGGATTGCGGCCTGTTGCGAAATCAACATTCACTGGCCACTTTATCAGAAACATCTTCCTTGTTTTGCTACTCACTGGCCACTTTATTAGAAACACCTACTATATATGTCCACTTGCTGGCCCCTTTACTGGATACCCTGATCTTGTATTTTCATTCACTGGCCACTTTATTAGAAACAGCTACATTAGACATTCTCTCACTGGCCACTTTATTAGAAACAGCTACATTATACTTTTTTTTCCACTGGCCACTTTATTAGAAACCTTGACCTTGTATTTCCACTCACTGGTCACTTTATTAGAAACAGCTACATTAAACTTTCACTCACTGGCCACTTTATTGGAAACCTTGACTTTGTACTTTCACTCACTGGCCACTTTATTAGAAACAGCTACTTACATTTTCTCTCACTGGTCACTTTATTAGAAACAGCTACATTATACTTTCACTCACTGGCCACTTTATTGGAAACCTTGACTTTGTACTTTCACTTACTGGCCACTTTATTAGAAACAGCTATGTTATACTTTCTCTCACAGGCCACTGTATGAGAAACGCCTACTTCAATGTCCACTCTCAGGCCACTTTACTGGAAACTCCGACCTTGTATTTTCATTCACTGGTCACTTTATTAGAAACAGCTACGTGACACTTTCTCTCTTTATTTGAAAAAAAAACAAAACACTAGCCTGTACTTCCACTCACTGACCACATCATTAGAAATCCCCATCTCACACTATCTTTCACTAGAACCTTTTTTCCTAGAAACACCTACCTTGTATTGGAAACCCGGAGCTTGTACTTCCACTTACTGGTCATTTTAATGGAAACCCCCAACCTTGTATTTTCATTCACTGACCACTTTATTAGAAACCCCAACCTTGTTTTTCCACTCACAGATGTGTGATTACAGTCTATAGCCCATCAGTTGTCATGCACAATTTGTCAGCCATCCACTACCTCGGTCAGTTTCTGACCACAGAGCCACTGTTGAGATATTATTATATACAATTCCCAATACAACATGGACAATGCGAATGACTTCTGTTAATGTTTTATTTTATCAAGTAAAAAAGCCTGTGTTCTGTGTCTAAACTGCAAACACACACAAACCCAATCTTTTTCCACAAGGCTGCTTCCTTCAGATAGCACTGTTTGAACATGGCTTACAGTTACTGACTAACCAGTCTCTTTTTTGGCGGGGGGTGAAGGAGAGTGCCTGGTCAAGCAGTCATTCACTCAAGCACTCGTACTATCTTTAATCCTTTACAACAATAGTTTGCCAAAAAATCATATTTACACAATTTTCTATTTACCTCTATAAGTGAGTCATCCAGGTCCAGACAGCAAAAACACCTCGCCTTGATTTTGTTCCAGCTGCCTGGCTTCTCTAGTTTGCTCAAACCAGTGGCAAAGGTGTTCAGACAGTTGGAACAAAATTCCGGGGAGGGTTTTTACTTTCAGGATCTGGGTGACCGGCCTCTGTTTACCTCAGATGTAGTCGATCATCTGAGACATGTTTGGTGTTCAAATTGTGCTTCATTAGCTCAGCAATGGAGCTTTGAGGCAAGCATTGTTAAACACTTGAAGTCAATAGTCACCCAAACTGTTTCTGTAGATACATACCCAAAATTTCTTTCCACCTGCTCAAACCTGCTCTCCAGGGTCTCGCAGTCCAGTGAATATGGTTGAGAGGTCAGTATGACTCACTGTGAACGATAGAAATAAGGACAGCAGTTTTAGAGCCTGCAGTGTTTGGCCACATGGTTTTGTTCAATTTTGTAGTTCATAGTTAGTCACATCGCCCTCTAAACCCCGTCTGCGCAACCTTACTGAAGCTCCTGATGTGGAATCAAAGGGTTAAAAGAGGTTTTAGGCACATATTTACAGAAAGATTTGGGTGACTATTGTGTTCCAGTGTTTGTTAGCAACATTAGCCTTAAAGATTTGGGTGACTATTGTCTTCTAGTGTTTGTTAGCAACATTAGCCTAAAATAATTGGGTGACTATTGTCTTCTAGTGTTTGTTAGCAACATTAGCCTAAAATAATTGGGTGACTATTGTCTTCTACTGTTTGTTAGCAACATTAGCCTTAAAGATTTGGGTGACTATTGACTTCTACTGTTTGTTAGCAACATTAGCCTTAAATAATTGGGTGACTATTAACTTCTAGTGTTTGTTAGCAACATTAGCCTTAAATAATTGGGTGACTATTAACTTCTAGTGTTTGTTAGCAACATTAGCCTTAAATAATTGGGTGACTATTAACTTCCAGTGTTTATTAGCAACATTAGCCTTAAAGATTTGGGTGACTATTGTCTTCCAGTGTTTGTTAGCAACATTAGCCTTAAATAATTGGGTGACTATTGTCTTCTAGTGTTTGTTAGCAATATTAGTCTTAAAGATTTGGGTGACTATTGTCTTCTAGTGTTTGTTAGCAACGTTAGCCTTACAGATTTGGGTGACTATTGACTTCTAATGTTTGTTAGCAACATTAGCCTTAAAGATTTGGGTGACTATTGTCTTCTAGTGTTTGTTAGCAACATTAGCCTTAAAGATTTGGGTGACTATTGACTTATTTGTTAGCAACATTAGCCTTACAGATTTGGGTGACTATTGAGTTCTAGTGTTTGTTAGCAACATTAGCCTTAAATAATTGGGTGACTATTGACTTCTAGTGTTTGTTAGCAACATTAGCCTGAAATAATTGGGTGACTATTAACTTCCAGTGTTTATTAGCAACATTAGCCTTAAAGATTTGGGTGACTATTGTCTTCCAGTGTTTATTAGCAACATTAGCCTTAAATAATTGGGTGACTATTGACTTCTAGTGTTTGTTAGCAACATTAGCCTGAAATAATTGGGTGACTATTAATTTCTAGTGTTTGTTAGCAACATTAGCCTTAAATAATTGGGTGACTATTGACTTCTAGTGTTTGTTAGCAACATTAGCCTTACAGATTTGAGTGACTATTGATTTCTAGTGTTTGTTAGCAACATTAACATTGAAGCTCAATCACTAAACTGAAGAAGCAAGATGTTGGCACCAAACATGTCCTGGCTGATGATCCACAGCTGGGGTGTGTGGAAAATCATAACTTACATTTTTTCATTCCTTTATTTACTGAACTGTGTTTTGTTTAGCAAAAGGCAAACCAAAACAATGTGCACGAGGCCTTTAGCAACCTACTTAATGATTTAATTCTGTTTAGTTGCAACATCCTAAATGCCCCTGCTCATACCTCACCACACCCAACAAAAGGGGGCGGGGCTCTGTCAGAGAGTTTGGGTGTTTGCCTACGCGAGTGCAGAGAAAGAGGAGAAACAGGTTTAAACTCTGTATCCGCATACGAAAGACAAACATTTGCCCCAGACGGAACACTGAGGAACAGGAATAGAGCACAAAACAACACATCACCATGCAGAGTAAGTCACAACAGTCTGCTTTTTTTAGATGTTCTCAGGTACAGAGTAAAAAATTAACCCTAAACATTCTGTTAAAAGTCTGGCAGAGAATAATTATAGTTGTACAAATACAGTTCTAATGAAAATTCTCAAATTTAGTTACTTTTATTCTTTCAAGTGCTGTTTTTTTTTCTATTTAACATTATATGTTGGGATTTTCCATTAACTTACTCATAAATATTGAAGATAGTTTCCCACACGTGTCCACAAATGACATTCCAGAGTTATAAATTGCTGTTGTCGGAACAAAACCTTGAACAAAATGGTAACTTTACAGGAGAAGGAAAAACCTACTTTACTTTTAATGTAAGTCAATGGAACCAGACGTTTTTCCAAGTCATTTTGGGCCTTTTCTGTTGGTCCATTCATCATGAAATTTACACACAATATAAAGGACAACAGGCCTTTTCAGATTATGTCAAAAACTGAAAAATGAGAAAAATGGACATACAAGGTTTTGTTCCAACAGCAGCGAATATAAACTTTTAAATAATCAACATACATTTCTTTATTTTATGCTGTTAGTTCAAAAGTTTGAATTATTCTTTTATGTTATTTTACATTTAGATTTGTATCTTAAAATGAGAGAGAATCATTTTTTTCAGGAAGGAAGAATTTTAGTAGTTGGTTTTGTTCAAAATGTTAAAAATTAGGGGTCAAGGCTCGCTACACTCTTAGGAAAAAAAGGTACAAAACTATTACTGGGGCTGTACATACATACATACATACACCATCTAAACCGCTTATCCTTCTGGGTCGCGGTGGGGTGCTGGAGCCTATCCCAGCTGGGCGGAAGGCAGGACACACCCTGGACAGGTCGCCAGTCCATCACAGGGCATAACTGTACCATAATCCACTGAAATGATATTGTCTAAGCTGTACTGACTCCACACACCCCGTCTCGTCTCCAGGCTTTTCTTTTATTGCTCTGTTTTAAAACATTCGGTTATGAAAAGGTACAAATCTGTACTTTTCACCTGAAAAAAACTGTTTAACGGAACACAACTGGACCTTAAAACCACTGTTGTACCTTTGAGGGAACGTTTACACTGTTTGTACCTTGATGAGCGAGAAACGTACCTGTTATTTCTAAGAGTGTACAGCAAAATAACTTGTTTTTTATTTTAAAGAGCCCATTTTTTAAACATGCCTTGTATTTTATTTTTGGGTAATAGCATTTGTGTGGTTTTATGTATCAAAAACATTCATTCAGTCATTCATTTTTACGTGACCATTTTTCACACCTCTATTTATCCCTTTCTCCCTTAAACAGGCTGTTATACAGTCTTATGCAAATAATGTTTCATTGTCTTCTAAGTGAAAATGAGGGAACAAGTTTAAATGATTTTCTTTTTAATTTAAGTGCAGAATTAAGTAAATTAAGCACAATTTATTTGTGTTTAACATATTAGAAAAGAAACAAAACATAAAATATAGCTTTTGCACAGGCCACATTTTATGTTTATTTCTTTTCCAAAAAAAAAAACAAACAAAAAACAAAACGTAATTGTGCATTAAATGTTTGCTGTACAGGACGTATCAACTTTCGAATTTTCACTTAGAAAGTCAACAACACCTACTTTGACCAGGGGCGTCCAAACTTTTGCATACCACTGCATTCAAACAATCTGTGTTCTGATTGGCTGTCCTGCATTGTGCTTTATTTAAAAAGCAGTCCAGGCCGAAACTCCTTTATAATCGTAGCGTGAATGGGCGGGGCTAAACCTTTGTGGGCTGCATTAGTGAATAAATGTGCTTGTTTTCATGACATCACAAAAACAGGAAATTCAAAGCAGCTTGTTTTTACAGTTTACATATATGGACTGTATGGACTGGGGGGTGAATACTTAGCGGCGTTTATATGCTATACCACACTATGTTTTCTCAAACGGCAACAAAAAAAGCAAAGAAAATGTGGTTTTCCATGATAGGGGCCCTTTAATGAAACTGCATTTGGTGGAATATGTCTCAGTTCCAGTTCCTGCTTGATCTAATTTTACTGTAAGGCATTTCATTGCTTTCATGGCTGATCCACAAACCACACAGACAAAGTTCTCCTTATCATTTGGTCCATTCCACACTTAATGGTTTGATGTAATCTTGTGGCCCCAAAAAAGAGATGAACGCTACATGGGAAGCATTTTATGAGGACATGGTCAGTGAAAGAGACGCTTGTTTTGATTTAAAGAGAGAACAGTTGCATTGTTAAGGTGAATCTTGTGCTGCTGCATTCCTGAGATGACATGACGGGCGACTCCTCAAACTTTATTCTATGCATGCTGGGTATTGTAGTGAGAGAACACTGATGGACGAAAACATAAAATAGTGAATTCTGTCAATCAGATGAGGCCGAAGGATGCAATGCTGCACCACAGAATATTACATAACAAGACAAATAATATTTAATATGCTAGTTTTAGGCCGTAATGCCCCTTTAAGTATATGGTGGTCTCCAGTACTTTTCCTGGAGGGCCACAACATTATGCCTGTTACTGTGGAATGTGTCCAGTTTATTGCAGGAGCAAAGTATCGCTATTTGTTTACATGTTATTTTAGATATTATAATTATTTAGATATACACTTAATCTGCAGAGCTAAGAGCTAACAGCAGTTCCATACCTGCAGTTTCAGGGCATCACATGGTTTCAGGTTTATCCCCTTACAGAGTTATCAGCTAGATAGCTGGTTAGCTAATTCAAGGTGCTTGAGTTAATCTATTATTGGCTTCTGGCTTGATGCCTAAAATGAATGAAAAACTTGGATTATTCTACCTTAAATGACTAAGACTATTATTAAATATATTATTTGTCATGATTTGCAAAATATTGGAGGACAGCAGTGCATTCCTGGGCCTCACTGGTTCAACAGAATTATGTATACTTTTTGTGTTTTCTTCCATCAGTGTTCTCTCACTACAAAACCCAGCATGCATTGTGCAAATGCGCCATGCAGTCATTGGGAATCTCCCTACGGTCATAAAGAAATCCTGTGTGCTAGCATAGCATGCTATTCAGCTTCAAAGCAGTAATGTTAGCCATTGCGCGTGTGATGCTCGCACTTTTATGGTAACATGAAACATGAGTGGGCACAAGTCAGAAGCCAAAACACACTGTTGCTGCCTCTCTGGGTCTGCAGATCGATGCATGTCACCAGTTTTAGCACCCATTGGTTTTCTTTCTCTCTCATTCACTCAGGCCTGGGATCTCGGGGCCGCACCCTCTCCGAGGACCAATTCTCATGCTCCATCTGCTTGGAGGTGTTCGTGGAGCCCGTCTCCACTCCATGCGGCCACAGCTTCTGCAAGGCCTGCCTGCAGGGCTACTGGAACCACAGCAAGAAGGTGGTCTGCCCCATGTGCAAGAAGACCTTCTCCAAAAAGCCGGAGCTGTGCGTGAACCGTGTGCTAGCTGAGATAGCTGAGCAGTTCCAGGGCTTGTCCATGGCCCCAGGTGCAGGGGTCACCGATGTTGGGGCTGCAGGAAGCCCAGGGGCCTCTCCAGGGACCCCGCAAAGAGATGAGGATGGGGGCGACTTTGCCAAACCCGGAGACATCCCCTGCGATGCCTGCATCGGGAGGAAGATGAAGGCTCTCAAGTCATGCCTGAGCTGCCCCGGCTCCTTCTGCGAGGCCCACCTCCGGCACCATAGGAAAGTGAAGACCATGGCTAAGCATAAGCTGGTGGACCCTGTCCACCACTTGGAGGAGAAGCTGTGCAAGAAGCATGAGCGTCTCCTAGAGGCATACTGCTGCAACGACCACATGTGCGTGTGCAGAGAGTGCGCGGACGTGGGGCACAAAACGCACGAAATCATCTCAGCCGATCGGGAATACAAGAAGAGGATGGTGAGTGAAGTTTGTGATCATATCTGAAGGTTCTAGTGTTACTCAGGGTGCCTTATAGGAACGATTCCTCAAAGGCATTTACACAATTTTCCACTTACCCCAGAAGTAGTTGCTCAGCCAAGACATGCTCCTTTAGTTAAGCGCTGGAGCTACATGGCTAATTTTGCTAACAAACACTAGAAGTCAGTAGTCACCAACATCTTTTCTGTAAATGCATCCACAGAACTTCTCTCAACCCACTCAAACTGAATCCAGGTCTTGTCCAAGACTTGTCAGTCCGAAACTGTCCCCTATTCACTATGTAGTGCCCTCTTTTAGGGTTCCACCATTTTATAGTGGTGTCAGAAGATCAGAAGAAGACCCGGTGCACTCAAATAAACCCCATAGTGCACCGCAATAAGTAGTGTACAACCAATGTACCCTAGAGGATAAGGGATACCCATAAAGCACTGCGATGTTTGGTTTGAAGATTCACGCTAGGATTAGCGACCTCAGCTACAATGGCAGCATCTCCACAGGCCTCTTTTCGGACCTGTTACAGATGTAAGAAAGCTCATCTCATGTGCAGTCAAACTCAACGGTCATGGTGGACTGGTGGCATTATATTAATAGTGTTTATGTGAGGGAATCTGCTGTCACACAGTAATGAGCAAACCCATATGACGTAGTGTCCAAAATGATTTACTACCATCACCAATTCTGTTCTGTATAATAATGTTCCACATAGTGATCCAGTTGTTTGAACGCAGGGTAAAGTGATTAGGGGATCATTTTGAACGCGGCAATTACAGTTCATAGCGTTCTGATGACCACCATTTTGGTAGGCAACCTTAAGTTCATTCAGGACAGACAACAAAACCATATCTGATCCAGCCGAGGCAGTAAAACATGTTTCTTTTTGGTGAATACTCAGTTTAAGTCTCAGTTTTAAAGCATATTAGTTTTTTATGAAATCTCACACACTGATGTTGAGATGCACCGGTCTAATGAATCCAGTCCACCAATCAAGCTAATTTTCTCCTCGAAACATTTTCTGGAGACCACATCTGAAGTGTCCACATATCTTTTTTGTGGTCATTCTGGTCTGTGTTGCTTGGTCTTTATCTGCCTGCAGGGTTGTAGCTGCAGCAGTGATAATACGAACACAGTCAGAGTTACAGCTTGCCTGCCAAAATGGCGGCAGGGGCTTCTTAATGACGTAATTGAATAATATGTATAGAAGGAGACATTTCAATGGTTGGAAAATGAACGATAGCTCATAATGCTCAACAGGGCATCTGTGTAAGAGGAAAATCCCACCCTTTAATAAAAAGAGCCAGTTGGCTGGTTAGTAGAGGTGTAAGCAGTAAAAGCCCCCTTGTTGTGGAGATGCGCTGTAGCCAGAACAGCATGTGTTTTGTGTCTTGTTGTACCAGTGAGGTTCTGTCCATTTTTATATTTTATAGTAACGACTTTAACAAAGATGTATATGCAGTGTGGGTGGGTTGAGAGAAGTTTTGGGAATGTATTTGCGGAAAGGATTTGGGTGACTATTGACTTCTAGTGTTTGTTACTGACTTTTAGTGTTTTGCTATGAAATGTTAGCCCCGTAGCTCCATCACTAAACTAAAGAAGCAAAATCTAAGCTCCAAACATGACTTTACTGATCAGCTACATCTGAGGTAAGTGTAAAGTTGTGTAGATTAGTGTTTTTGCACTAATTATTCCTTTTAAATAAAGGTGGCTATAACTTGAGTCAATTTATTTTCCCATTACTTAACTTTTCACCCACATGTGGGTCTACAGCAGTTAGCCCTGTAGTTGTGCACGCCTAACATGACTCATGCATGTTCTACAGAGTCAACTGGGGAAGAGGAGATCAGAACTGAAACACTTGATCAAGGAGAGAGCCAAGAAACTAGAAGAGATCAAACAGTCCATCAAAGTCATCAAAGTGAGTCTTTTCTTTATGGTCTTTCAGAACAAGCTAAACGTTATGGGGTCTTATAAAGCTATAAAAGATGCCCATTTCTAAAGGCAAATATAAAATAACAGCCACCTGAGTTAAAGAAATGAGTTATTGTTCTTGTTGGCAGGTAAAAAAAGGAGAAATAAAAACATTTCCATGTCCGCTATGGCAGTATGCTTTAGCTAGGATGTTTGACAGTTTGCGTTTTTATGTTTGCTGCCTTTTTCCATTTTTGTGTACATTTCAGCTTCCTGTTTTTAATTTATGTCATCTACATTGGGGTAAATGTTGGCTGTGAACAGTAGATGCATGCGTAACACGGAAAGGTTTCATTGTTTATCTTGTTTATGTTCTTGTTTGTTTTGGTTGTATTGGAACATGCCAAATGATCACTGTTCTGCAGTCAGAACAGTGGTGCTGCATAGGCCTCGCTGTAACTTGATAAATTCCCTGACCATACAAAAGAAGGTAGCCAGGTAGGGGCCCACAAAATATTTGTACTCAGGGGACTATAATTTGATGGCCAGAGGCTGCGTTACAGAAACTCCCTATCTTTTTATCTGATCTGACAGGTCAGCATCTTATTTCGAGTTAGGAAATCTTAACCTTTTTGATCAAAGTCGACAACTAACTGTCATGTCTGTTGCCTAGCAACCAACCATACGTAAGCACATAAAGTAATCATGTTAGTTAACCAGACAGCTAATGTTACTGATGTAAAAAGGGCAAGCAAAACTAAACCTCTAGAATCTTGAAGTTAAGAATATTGTGACAGCGCTTTGTGCTGTTTATCAGAGTCGCTGCTCCCCAGTTTCAGTCTCCATTTCCCAAACGCTTTAGTCGAGCGCGCTAACGTTACTTCTCCTAAGAAACAGACACACGTTCAGCTCTGTCTTTTCATTATTCACCACTATCACTGCAGTCTGCAGCGCCTGGCTTTTAAAAATGCTGTTAGAAAAAAAACCCTCACAAGTCAAACCACCGTTTTCAGTGTAGATAAATGTAACGTCATTATGCAGTAAGAGTGAACTATACTGCCTATCACTGCACAAACCAGTAGAAACAGACGGTTAAGCAGAAGTTAACACAGCTCTGGGGTTTATCTTAAAGTTAGGACAGAAGTTAGGAGATTTAGTCTAGTTCGGATGGTTCTGTAATATTGTTTTCTTATATGGAGTTAAAGGATAAGATTATGAACTTAAATTCAGTCTTAGCTGAAGTTGTCATGGTGACCAAGCAGCTAAGACAAGATTTCAGACTTTAGACAATCCTGCAATACAACGTGTGGATCCAATCCGTCGAAATGATCTCAGAATTTCTCATAATTTAGGTAGAAATGAAGAGAAGAGGTAACTGTTGTGTTAAAATGAAGTTAGAACAGCTACATAAACCTTCATTTACAGCTAGGAAGTGTTTAATGAACGACAGATCCTTGATAGCAGACTCTTTAGACGCCGTAGACTGAACTCCTTTCACCTACTTAGTTCTGTATGTGGCTTTACTTCGCTGACTCACCCAACTCGCAGGACCACTGCAAATATTTACCTGCTTCAACACACCCAGCTCAAAAGAAGGAGAATGCTGTGGGAACTGAAATATGTCAGACGTCAGGGGAAAACCTAAAGGGCTTGTAATGAGCAGAAAATGAGATAGGAGAGCTTTAAAAACCAAGAAATGGAAGCGGAAGGTCTCCGCTTGAATGGAAAACAGTGACAACGATACGTACAGCATGATATGAAATATCGATGGGTTACTTTCTAAACGAACCTATCCAGGTCAGGTCTGCAGCGGTCGGCTGTAACAGGTTTTGATTCCCCTGGAGGAAACATTTAATGTGATTTGGTGTCAGTATCATGCTGAGTGAGCATGAGGTTACTGTTGCAGCTGCAGGCCAGTGTCGCGGCCAAATCATGGGCTGGAAATAGAGCCCAGCTGGAGCAGTGTTTAAAAATACAATGAGGATGAAGTTACACGTGGTGGCAGATCTTTGTCTCTCTCCTTTTGGGGAAGGCGAGCGAGCGAGAGAGGGAGAGAGTTCTAATTGTTAGGTAGGGCTGGACAAAGGCACAGCTATTCTCAGCCATTTAAATTGTGGCTTGCTGGAAATTCCTGCAGCAAAACATAAGAACAGTGGTGAAGCAGGCTTTGGCTTCGATTTGTTAGGAATTCTTCGCCCGCTGACATTTTTCAGACAGGTTCTGTTGACATGCACCCAAAAAAGGCCCTTTAAAATTCATGTAGGCATTTAAGCTTTAAAGTAGTTTTTGTTCTTGTTGTTGAGAATTAGCTTAGGTAGATACCACAGAGCAAAAATATCCTGATTTGGATGATTTTCCATTGGGTGAGTCAAGAATTTAACCCTTTAGTTTCCAACCAAAACCAAGCTTTTTTACAGGATTTCAAAATAAGATACATCAGATCGGCATTGGCCAAACTCAAATTCAAATTCGGCGCACTGCAGTGGTGAACCATGACTGTTAGATCTGGGCCTTCAGTTTGGTCCATAAAGGCTAAAACTAGGTCAAAAAATGAGGAAAAAGCCCTCTATGATAACACTAATTACTGCTAGCTCATCTAATGGGGTTCTAGTACTATGTTAGCAAAGCTTTGTTTGGTAATTCCAGATTATCTGTGGATATTTGAAGCTTGTAAAAGATGTTTCAATATGTATTTACCTTTTCACTGAATGCTTTCCGCTCATACTCACAGTCAGTGATGTGTCTAGGACTTCCAGAAGGCCTAGAGTGATGTTTTTTTTGTTCTCCCACAAAATTAGCATTCAAAATGTGATTGGTTGATTCCACTGTCAGCTTCTAGTTGTAGTAGTGGTTACTCTGACACATTAGACCTCCAATTCAGCTCCTGAAGTCCTGGCCAATGGGAGAGCTCGCATGGCTGTATCTACCAAGATACCTCATTTTCCATTTGGTGGTTGAAGAATTTAATACTTTAATTAACAACCAGACTTAAAATGAACTAAGACTATCACAACAATACTAGCAGAATTGAAAATACACCATTCATGCTGATTATATTATATTAAAATAAACTTAAAAGTTCCAGATATATATTTTTTTCGATTTCACAATTCCCTTCTGCCTCTGACAACAATTATATGTAACATAATTAAATGTCATATGCTAGTGTACTCCAGTTAGCCATCATGACAGCAAACATTATGACATGTCATGACATTAAACTGTATATACATGGACATATACATATATTGGTCATATACATCACTTGTTATAGTAGCATGATATTTTTATATTACTGTACATAATCTGTCATAACAACTGATGTATATGGCCTGTTTATGGCATGATTATGTCAACCCCATTTAGCAGGGTACAAGCAAAATGTTACCCAATAGATGGTTCTTTGAAGAAAACGAGCTGAGCGAGTGCGTAGAACCTTAAAGAACATCCACATTATATCAATGTTCTTCTCCAATTAAAGGTTTTTCCTAGAAATGTACACTCAGGCTGAGGACCATTTAGAAGCCTTGACTTTTAAGAGTGGATGTATGCACGCCGCACTACCTGCTGAGCTGCTTTGTACCCAAATCCTCATGTAAAAGCCACCAGCACGTTTATGTACATCACAGAAATGAATTTTAATTCCACTGAGGTTAAAAACAGTTTTCTAATTTCAGTGCCATTAAACTGATTATGTTTCCAGTCCTTAAGCCGACGCTCGCTTACATACGTGCTGTGAAATGTAAAGTTGGGTAGCGGAAAATCGCAAAATTACAGAGAGCTGATTATGTAGAGGAAAGTAATAACGCTGTGGAGTTGATTGTGTACGTGGCTGGAGCGAGTGCGTGAGGTTTATGTGTGGATGTTTATTCAGGACGGTTCCACAGTGCGGTCAGACCGGTCAGTCCAGTTACTCCCAAACACGCAAGAAACACATTCAAACAGCTAATCAAACTGCACCACAGGATGCTGTGTGAAGCACTGCACACTGTGTACGTGAACGGTTGCGCTTGTAAAGGAGGGGCTGCACATTAAGTTCTTAAGTCTTTTAATTAAGTCTTTTAACGCTCCACTGTATGAAATCGGGTCAGATTTCACAGGAGTTTCTTAGACCACATTGTATGTTTTTTATGTATTAACGTCACGCACAGGCTCAAAAAGAAGGTCCGGCTCAATGTTTAGGTCTCGAAGGTAAAATCAACATCATACTGATGAGGACACGATGACAATAGTAAATAATTCATTCACATCCACGTCCTTCACCCAGTTTCGATTTGATTTTGAGTTCTCTTTGAATTCAACAATCACCAAGTTCATCCAGTCAGGGAAGGAGTCTGAAGAGCAACCCATGCTACAAAATGTGCATCCACATGTGTGCAATTACACTTGTCCACCAGAGAGGTCTCCAAATCCCCAAATCCCCCAGTCAAATTACATAATGTTGATTTTAACACTTCTGCACATTTAATGCACATAAAACGTAGTGTGTTAAAATTTAATATGGAATTTCAGCAAATAATAGAAATAAAATGCTAAAATGTGCAGAAAATGGACACATTTAAGAAACATGTATTTTACTAGGGTATATAGATAAATAGGTCATGTAGGTGCTGGTATGTGTGTGTGTGTGTGTGTGTTTTTAACAGCAGTGCTAACAGGTGCCTAGAGCGAAGCTAGAAGTTGACAGCTGTGCATGTGCACGTGTGTGTATGTGTGTGTGTGTGTGTGTGTGTGTGTGTGTGTGCGTGTGTGTGTGTGTGTTTGTTTTGCTGCACTGTCCATTTTAGCAGTGGTTAGTGGAAACATGAGATGGCACTGATATCTGTGCCTGGATTGTTTGTTTTGTGTGTTTGTGTGTCGTAGCAGTCCAGCAAATCGCATTAGCTGGATTTGAGTGAAGCAACAGAGCACCTTCCTATTTAAACCAAACTGCCATTATAAAAGGCCATTTTACAGTCAAGAGAGACCAAGAAATTATTGGCAATATTAGTACAAGTATGTTTCACAATTGTTTTCTTTCTTTTTTTCTTTGCTAAATGTTTTGTGCATTCTCAATCAGTTATTAAGACTGAAATCCACTGTTGTTTGACGTTTGGTAGCTAACCTTTGTCTTGACAGCTAAAAGCAAACGGCTTATTATTCAGTTATTCATTTTCAGACTTCTTATTAAGTAACTACTATGATAATTAAGAATCAGGCTGGTCACGACCACAAAATGAATTGCTACATATTAAAGTACATGGCTAATATGGTCAAAGTGGCTTGCTTCATAGCTGATACTCAGTATCTCCCAACTGACAATAGAAACAGCTCGAGCTCAAACAACCAAACATTACTCACTGCTGCCCTCTAAAGGTGATGTAGCACCGATTCAGACGTTAGAATGCGTTTTCTGCTTTCTTTAATTTACATGTTTTTGCCTAAAAGCAGCAGCTGAAAATACTCCCAATTCACATTCTATTTGTTGCAACATAAACATATGATTGTGAAAGCAAACAGCTGTGGAAAATGATTGCAGACAGCTTAGATAATTGTGATCAGGCAACTATAGAATAACTGTGACAGGTATTTTATCGAGTGACAATTTAAGAAGCAGCGTGAACAAAGTTAAGTTTCACTTTGTTTAATTTAAAGTTTAGTGGGGTTTAGTGAGGCAGGGAGATTGGTGGGGCACCGCCCCACGAAATGGCTCCCTGACACCGGGCCTGAAGTTACATAGTTATGAGAGCGAGTGTGAATCCACATAAGAGTCCCTAAGTGTTAAACAGCAGGCAGATTTCTCAGTTAGAGCACGTTACACAAGGTTGATATGTTTAAGGGTGTGTGTATGTTGCAGTCGAACAGTCAGCGGGAAATCGAGGAGAGCTGGATGGTGTACGCAGAGCTGCAGAGGCTGCTGGAGCAGAGTCAGGCTCAGCTGGTGGAGCAGATCACCTCTCGGCAGAAGCACGCCGAGCAGCAGGCCAGAGAGCTGGCTAGCCGTCTGGAGCATGAGCTCAACCTGCTCAGGAACAGGAGCAGCGACCTGGATGCCCTCGCGCACACACAAGACAAAGTGCTCTTCCTACAGGTGTGTGAGTGTGCCGACTTGGGTGGCTTGTATCGTTTGGGAACGATATTAAAACATTCAGAATCACTGTTTTAGTTATATATATTAGCTATATATATTATATATAGCAGTATGGTGTACCGATGAGCCAAAACATTAAGACCACCAGCCCAATATGCCGTTAGTCCTCCCTGTGCTGCCTCTAACCCTCCGCCCTGCCCAAGCATGGACTCTACCAGACCTCTGAAGGCACCCTGTGGTATCTGTCACCAAGACGTTAGCACCAGATCCTCAAAGTCCTGTAAGTTGAGGTGAAGCCACTGCAGATCGGACTATACCGTAGATACCACAGACTGAGATCTGGAGAATTAAGGCCAGGTCAACACCTTGAACCCTTCGTCTTGCTCTTCGTGTGCAGTGTGGCAGCGTGCATTATCCTGCTGATCGAGGCCACTGCCATCAGGGATTACCCCTGTCATGAAGGGGTGTACTTGGTTCGCAGTCATACTTGGCCTTTCCACATGATGTAGAAGAAAACAGGAATTACCGGGCACTTTCTTCCATTGCTCCGAAGTCCAGTTCTGACACTTGTGTGTCCATTGTAGGCACTTTTGACACTGGGCAGCAGTCAGCATGGGCATTCTGATTGGTCTGCGGCTGCGCAGCCCCATATGCAGCAGGGTGCGATGTGAAAATTCCTCCCGTAACAATCATCAATCCCTCAGAATCCCAGGCTTATTACATACTAAGGCTTAATATCCAGTAACTACAGGGACATCAATGCAAACTGGCTGAGCTATTCTTAGGTTATCGAAGTGTGTAACAGAGCTTTGGGCCTGCCGGTGGGCCCTGACCATTTAAGGGGTAAAAAATGTCTGTGCCACTGTAGCCCTTCTATTGGTTTGGACCAGATGGGATAGCCTTTGTTGCCCTCGTGCATCACTGAGCCTTCGGCACTCAACACCCTGTTGCTGGTTCGTGGTTTGTCCCTCCTCGGACTTCTGCTGGTAGGTCTTCACCCCTGCCCATTTCTCCCGCACCAACATGCTGACTATGAGAACCAACTGCTCATAACATATCCCAGTCCTTTCTTGTTACAAGATTACATTATACAGTTTATCTGTGAGTGGTCATAATGTGCCTTCCGCCCAATGACAGCTGGGATAGGCCCCAGCACCCCACCGTGACCCAGAAGGATAAGCGGTTTAGATGATGTGTGTGTGTGTGTGTGGTCATAATGTTTTGGCTAATCTGTGTATTTGTGAGTGAGTTTGTCAGTGTGTCTGAAACATGTACTGTATCTCTCATAGCACCTCACCACTCTCCCTCCTCCACCCGAGTCTACTGACTGGTCAGGTGTGTCAGTGAACACAGATCTGTACCTGGGCACGATCAGGAAGTCTGTCAACACGCTAGTCGAGAAGTTCCAAGAAGAGGAGAAACGCCTGTATGGGAAAGGTAGTGTGTCTTTGATCAGCGCATTCAATCGAAAGCATAAACAATGCACCTAGTTTCTTGCTGGGAAGCTAAAAATGGAATATAGTAGTGTTACTCAGAATTTAGGTGTGTTTTCTTGTACGTACTAAAAAAAACTAATTGACTCACTAACACACTTGGAGTAGGAGCCAAAGGGCAGGTGTTAAAGCATCTGCCCATAGACTTCTAGTGTTTTTTGAGTCAACAGGTTTTCTGTTGTTTTGCTAAGCGCAGGGAAGCATGTCAAAATGACTGTCTGTGGTAAATGACCATATGATTTGTGACAAAAAACAGAATAAGAAAATGAAAAATGGTGGAATATTCCATTAAAGAGCTGCAGAGAGTCCTGGTAATGACACACATTCAGGTGACTGACGGCAACATGTGTCTGATCATCTCTCACTGAAACATATAGTTTGTTTATCTGTTGTTGATGGTTTCTATGCTACTAATAACTTTGACTATTGTTTTTGCAGAGCTAAGAAAGATGCAGAACTATGCAAGTAAGTGCCATTTTTTAAGTTCAAGCAAGCTGAAATGGGCAGTATGTGTCGCATTTACCAGGGGACACAGAAATTTTGGTCATAGTTTTCAGATGAAAAGGGCAAAATCTTTGTTTTGTTTTCTGCAGCTTTAAAATTACAGGAAAATACAAGCTAAAGATGATGCTAAAGACACACTGCATTCACTTAAGACGGCAAGGAAGATGAATGAGTTTAAGTGCATCACTAATTCCAAGAGGACTCTGGTGGTGGAGCTAGAGTTGTTTCAGCTCCTCTGTTAAGTGACTTATAGCCAGAAACATCTCAACGCTCCCTTTTTCAGGTGAGGTGTTCATGGATCCGGTGACGGCACAGCGCAACCTGGTGGTGTCCGAGGACGGTCGGCAGGTGCATTACGAAGAGGGCCGTAAACCCTCGTCCCAGTCGGACAGCCCACGCCGCTTCAGTCCAGCGCTGTTCGTGCTCGGCCGTGAGGGATTTTCGTCCGGCAGGCACTACTGGGAGGTGGATGTGGGCCGGAAGACAGGTTGGACCATCGGGGTGGCCCGGGTGTCTGCCCGTCGCAAAGGAGAAATCCGGCTCTGCCCGGAAGGTGGCTACTGGTGCCTGTGGCTGAAGAACGGGGAGGTGAAAGCCCTGGCCTCCAGCAGGATCCCCCTACAGCTGCCCACAGTGCCCCAAAAGCTGGGCATATACCTGGATCACGAGGGAGGACAGGTGTCCTTCTATGACGTGAAGGCGCAGTCCCACCTCTACACGTTCATGGATACGTTCGGTGAGAACGTGCACCCCATCTTCAGCCCCTGCGTCAGTCAAGAAGGGAAGAACGCAGGAGCACTGGTCATCACGACAGTGAAACATGGCTGATGCTGTTGACCACCTTTAAGGACCTGCCTGTTTTTTTCACTTAGCTAAGGTATACGCTGCCATTCAAAAGTTTGGGATCACTACTAATGTTAATATATCTTTGTTATTATATGTATATTGATAACTAGAAATATTCTAAGCGTAAAACATTCAAAATGTGTTTCTCAATTTTTTCAGATATTTTGAGTACAACAAGAATATATTAAATAATGGTAATTAATGTGTAATTACCTATTTACAATTTTTTCAAATTAACTACCTCAATATTTGATTACCGCTTTTGAAGCATAGCATGAAACGTCCTAGATATTAATTGTATTTTAACTTCATTTTTCTGGTTATTCACGTTTCTCAATCAGTTTTTTACCCGTCTCAGTTTCCTTATTAGAACCCGTTAAGTTGCCAAGGACTAGAATCATTTTAGAAATTTATCCATAACCCGATTGGTTTTATATTATTAAAAATATTGACTGCACACTTTTGAATGGTAGAGTATGCTATGAAATGCTTTATTTTGGAAGGACGAACCAATATTTTAATCACTGGTAGATGGGAAATTTTAATTCTATAATCAACTATTGTAACTAATGTCATGAAATGGAATGAAATTAATATAAATGTTTAATCCAAACTGAGGCTACCTTAAAACAGCTCAGAGTATTTTGGCCACAATTATTACATAAAAACCTGGTCGCAATTATATTCCACAGCTGTTAGATTTCATAATCAAATCACTGCTGAAATATATCCATTTGTTTTCCAGATGTTTTTTGTACATCATTTGAGCACCACAGTTGTCCTTTATATTGTGCTGAAATTTCATGATGAATAGGCCCATAGAAATAATCCAAATTACTTTACATTACATTAACTTTCATTAAAAGTAAAGGATGTTTTTGCCTTCTCCTGTAAAGTTGCTATTGTGGAGACATTCTCCATGATATGCTTATGTTGCAACAAAGATAGTATGAATGCCAGCACTGGGGCCCTTATTGCGACATGCGATGGGTCACACAAAAACAACATAACACGCATCGTATCTCCAAAATGATAACTTTACAGGAGAAGGAAAAAACATACTTTTAATATAAGTCAATGGAACCAGACATTTTTCCAAGTAATTTTGGGCGCAGCAGTGAGTGATGTTTGTTTATTTGAGCTTGAGTTGTTTCTGTCGTCAATTAGGAGCTACTATGTATTGACAGCCAGGAAGAAAAACAGCTAATCAAACAATTTACATACCATTTTTAAGATGACTCAGTTTTTTTACATTTGAATGGAAAGATCTTATCATATTGTCCGCACTGTTACGTTTTCTATGCCTAAAAAGTTTTTGTGTAATATGGTTAAAACAATAATGGGCAGTAATGCTAGTCTGTACTGAATGTCACTTTCTGTTTTCTATATTTTTCAAAACTTTTGAATAAAATAAACCAAATATTATTTGCTTTTGCTCTTTGGATGACCAGAGGATTGTCCACAAGTGTACGGGTACTATGTGGAAGTGGTGCAGAGTAGCAGAATGAAGTAAAAAGTGGCATATGAGGGGTTCTTTCCTTCGCAGACCGAGAGACCCCCAATCTGGAAGTGTAAATCTGAAACTAGGTTAAGGGAAAGGGGGGGGAAGGGTGATATTTTGAAGGGGGGTGTCAGCTGTGTCGTGTGTCATTGCTGTCCACAGCAGAGCGGTCACTGTATGCAGGGACTTTCTGCAGCTACATCTCCCTGGTGAGTCTCTTTAAAAACTGTATAACCAATAATGCTCACCTAACATGTTATTATTCTGAATTATTAATGAAGACATGTTTCATATGAAAGATCTGTCTAGATAAGAAGCAGCGACATGTTACCATCACTGGACTGCTCAAAGTCTTGCTCTCAAACCACCATCAAACACAGTTAGCATACGATGTATTCGCCTTCAGAATCAATGTGAAGTCTTTAGAACTGATATGAGGTTTTGGATGTGAGTGTACTTGGTTGTGAACAGTGAGGTGAAGCAGGACATTGCCTTGACTGGTACATTCAGGGGCATGTTAATCTTGGAGCTCTATGAATAGCCAGGCCTTCCATATTTCTGTGAGCCCTCTTTGCTCTGACTTGGGTTCTAAAGTTCTGACATGTTGTTGAGAGCATATGCCAACAGTCTCAACAGCAGGATTACCAATCAGACCCCCTTGCACAAGCTTAGCCGCGACAGTTTGATGCTACAGCCAAGTATATGGAAATAGCATGTGTGCAACAGATGCCATTAGGAGAAAGAAACTTGGTTGGTAGCCATTTGAAGAAGCGAAGGAGAAATTAGCATTAGGCATTTTTTTGTATCCAAAACGTTCAATGAAATTAAAAAGCAAAAAATTTTCATTTGAGTTTTGGTTAACAACATTTGCTACTGTGGAATGATGATAACAGGAGAAATCAGTCAGGAGATTGTGAGCTTTATCCCAGCCATCCGAGTCAAAGAGTCCAAAGCCCTTCTTACATGCACTTTAATGCAGGAATTTAATAGTAATTAAACAGGAAGTGGTTAAGTGTGAATGCAAGCCAGAGTCCAAGTTTCCTGTAAGACTGATGTGTCAATCGCTTAGCATGAGCGCTAGTGCAATTCCTAGGAAAGTACTTGGGCTGTCCCCAATACCAATTTTTGGGCTCCTGAGCTTCGGCAGTAATCAACAGTAAATATTCAAAGCTTCACCAGTTAGGGTTGGGGGCAGGGGCAGGGGGGGGGGCGGGGGGGGCGGGGGGGACGGGGGGTGCATCCGATGCCCATTTTGAAAGAACATTCACGGCTTCATCCGAATCCGAATCTCCAGGCTAGCTGCTTTCCTCGCAAAGTGCTGCAGCACTCACAGCATGGATTTCATCTACCAGGCCTCTCTTAGCGGCGGGCTAGAGGATAATAGCACAGTGCATGAATGGGTTAACCAGCGCCTCACGGAGGTGGCGTAACTTGAGGTACGACGGTCATACGTCACAGCCCTAGTAAGGGTCCAGTAGAGCAGATCGCTGTTTGAAGCCACACATGCTGTTTACCAATGCCTAAGCGTGACGTTCACCGCTGTAAGTGGGAGGGATGTCAGGCTCCCGAGCTGTTAGTAGTGCAGTTTTTTAAAGAGAATAAATGTTTATGTTGGGCTGTTTTAGGTTCATTCGTACAAGGACTTTTATGTTGAAGGGCCTAAATATGGGTCACTGTGTTTCTTCTCGCCACGTTTGGCGCTGTTTTCAGCAAATTAAAAATAAAGCTGTGTTATGGACCATAACCTTGAGCTGTCTAAGCCTCTCCCATGAACGCCGAACGTTACAGTAGTTTGCTTTTATTGATAGCCCACACTTAGCCCCCCCCAAAAAAACTATTTTCAAATTCCGAAGTTAAAAACTCGATGCCTAAACATCTGAATACTCGAATATTCAGGTCCAGCCCTAAAAACTGCCAGGAGGGCTCATGTGTGAATAGAAGTGGACAGCTTCTGTGGTTTTTATAGTCAAGCTTTCAGTTTTCATGAGTGGAAAAAAGGTTCTATTTGAATACCGTTCAGCAAGAAAATTGTTCCTTTGAACGTGTGTGGCTACTATTGCACAAAAAAGGCACTATTGTTGGTAAAGTGGAAGTATTCTGTAGTGCTTTCTAATTTACAGTTTTCATGAGAGAAAAATGTTGTAAACATTTTGTATATGATCCAATAACGAATGATCTGTTGGCCATTCATACTCAGGACACCACATCCTATCTGACGGGACTTTAATCGCAAATATAAATGCAGTAAAATGATGCAAAGCCAGAACAAAGGCGGTAAAGGTATGGCAGTAATGCCAGGTTCTGATAGTGAAAAGGGCTTAACAGAGCATAGTTGACCTCGTTTTCTGTGGGTGCGTAGGGTGGTCCTTCCTCTACCTGCATCACTCAGCTCAGTGCTAGCCAACACAGGTGTCTATAAACTGATGTAACACAACTGGTAGTTAGTGTTCTCCTCCAAGCATGTTGAGCTGCATTTTGTAAAGATGGCTCACTTCACATTTCTAGTAATTAAGTACTAGCCATTACCCTCATAGCTTGATAGCATCTTGTGAGGGAGGGAGCCTTAGTGGGTGTGAATTAGCCATGACATAATTTGGGAGCAAAAATCACCCATACAATCTTAGACAAAAGACACAAAGACCAAAATTTCTTCACCACAAATCACCAAATTTCCCTTCTGTTCAGGGAATGGCTTCCCCTACAAACATGTTAGTTGAAGAGCAGGTGCACTGTTCCATCTGCCTGGATGTGTTCACCAATCCGGTGTCCATCCCCTGTGGACACAACTTCTGCATGGCCTGCATTGGCAACTACTGGAAGGCCAGTGCTCTCTTCATGTGCCCGATTTGCAAGAAGACCTTCTTCAAGCAGCCGGACATTAGCATCAATACTGTGCTGCGTGAGATTGCGGAGCAGTTCAAAGAAATGAGGGCCAAACCTGTCCTGAAGCCCAGTAGTCAACAGGTCCTTGAGACAGAGCAATGTCCAGAAGAACTCCCCATAGAAGTACCAGAACTGATCCCACCGAGTGGACTGTGGTCACAGGAGGTGTCCTGTGACGTCTGCACTGGACCCCAGCAACTGGCTGTGAAGTCCTGCCTGGTTTGCCTCACTTCGTACTGCGAGGAGCATCTAAAGACGCACACGGCCAGGTTCACCAAGCACAAACTGATCGAGCCAGTGCAGAATCTGGAGGACCGCATGTGTAAGAAGCACGAGAGGCTGCTGGAGCTGTTCTGTAAGAAAGACCAGCTCATGGTGTGTGTGCTCTGCACCGAGATGGACCACAGGGCTCACTACACTGTGCCTGTTGAACGAGAATGGAGCGAGAAGAAGGTAAGAGAAGGAAAAGAAATGCTTGCATCTGATCTAACATACTGGAAACAGCCTCATGTTAGCATGCCAAGACGTAACCAAAGCAGCGACAGAGGAAGACACTTTAATGGGTGTGTATAAATTCTGGTGACTGACAGGTTCAGCTGAGGAAAACTGAGGCAGAGGTTCAGCAGATGATCCAGGAACGGCTGAAGAAGGTGGAGGACGTTAAACACTGCGTGGAACTGAACAAAGTAGGCATTTGCACAACTGGTTAGCATGCTAATGCCCTTACAGTGTTATATAGAAGCTAACTGGAAGCTGAGTTGAATCTTCTTATTATTATATTAGAAAAAAAGTTCAAGCAATTGTCAAATCTTCTCATCTGTATTTGATCATTTTACAGTACTGAATGCTAATCAACATATACGCTAACACTTAAGGACCTAGGGGACATTATAATGGCCTAGTAATGCTAACAAGCCAGTGGCTGGCAGTTAAGAAGCTGCTCATTATTACTATATTGAGCAATAACTTCAGAGAATTGAGCATTTTCCAGAACATATTTATTTCCGTTATGCATCATAATCATAACCACAAAATCTTAGGTCTGTATTATCATGATCTTATTAAGCCTTATCAAGCCAATAGCCTATCAAGCTAGTGGCTGCTAAGTAACTGGCTCTATATTACTACTTTATTGAAGGGAAATTCCACCAATCTTTCAAATTTTCTGAATAAATCAGTTCTTGAGATGTAAACAGACTCATCCAGTGTGGTTTGATGTAAGGTACTTCATTGTAGGGAAACTTATAGACTTCTTTCATAGATGTATTTACAATGGTGGTGATAGGAGCCAGGGGTCACCATGACTACAACACAAATATAGCCATTTTATTTACTAGCCAAACCCACCAGTGAACCTACAGGAGTCTTCTGAGTGTTTATATGGAATGTTGATGGTAAAATAGTCATAAATCTGAAAAAATAATTTTTACTTGGGGGACTATTTTGTCTCACAACATCCTGTATGTATCCATCCACCACGAATGGATTCAAATAAATGGATTAAAACACATTTCAAGCCAACACCTTATAGCAAAACTATCTTAAAACAATGTCTCAGACATCAGGCAGTATATTCATAACCACTTCCTGTAATAACTCTCTGTGAGGGAGCTTTAGGAGGTGGACGTCTGGTTCCTATCACCACCACTATGAACAATTCTGACTCTGTAAGTTTCTCTAGAACAGAGCATTTCACACCAAACCACTCTGAATGACTCTGTTTACATCTTAATAATTTAATTATGAAGAATTTTTAATTGGTGGAGTTCCCCTTCAAGTAATATCAAGGGTCAATGATGAATTTTACATTATAATCTTGTGCACAACCAGAACTTAAGCATTGGGCCTAAATGGAATGTGCTTATTTATAAATACTTAATTATTGGTTTAGTAAAAAAAGTTTAATAAAAGCAATACAAATGCTTAATTCAGCCCAGTTATAGCTTAATAAAGTAGTAATGAGCAACAAATTAATTACCAGCCACTATTAGGCTTAATAAGAGCATGAGAAGGCATTCTACTGTCCCACTATACTGAAGCATTACCAGAAGTACAACTCCTACATATTCTCTTCTGTTTCTATCTGGCTGCCTTCAGAGCAGCGCACAGAGGGAGATCGAGGACAGCATGCAGGTGTTCTCAGACCTGGTCCGTGCAGTCCAGAAGGCCCAGGCCGAGCTTGTTCTGGCCATCGAAGAGAAGCAGAGGAAAACGGAACGTTGGGCTCAGAGTCTCATTGAGGAGCTGGAACAGGAGATCACTGTGCTAAAGATGAGGAACAGTGAGCTCAATCACCTCGCTCACACCGAAGACCACATTCACTTCCTCCAGGTGGGGGTTTTTCAGTAATATTTAATAGATAAATCACAATAAATATGATGCACATTATAACAAAATGAAAATTAGCTCTGTCTTTCAGTTTACATTGATTTTGAGTATTAAAAATATCTGATATTAAAGATGCTCAATTTGTGATTAAATGAGTCCAAGAGGACCAAAATCAATAAAAACCATGGCCGCCTTATGCTAATTGTTTATTTTTACTCAATAATGACCAATAGAATGAATCACCCTCAAAATTCTTGCACTTTCAGATCACAGACACTAACGGTTTCTGAAAAGATATCTGAGGTGACACTCGTTTTCAAGATCTCTATCAGCAAAAATGTACAGAATTTTACATTTTGTACATTTTTTATCAGAAATTAGACACATTCATAGACATATCAAATTTCTGTTAGCATTTACATGGCAAACAATGGCATATCTGAGCAGCCCAGGGTCTCCTGAAAATAACAACATATGTCTCATGTCAATACTTTCTATACAATACTATAATTGTAATTGTAATTGACCCAAATACCAAACTATCACCCCTAGGGTTCTAAGGGTTAAAGCCCCGGGGAACCTAAATTCATGTTTTCTTTATGAGTAGATCAGTCTTGGTCTTGTGGGAACACAGTACACCTGTACAAGGTATGATCTGTGAATTACCTTCCATTGTCCACTAAATGGCCAATGGATTTTGCCAAAACTCCACTGTTTTGATGTAAACTGGGTGGTCCTTGTCTTGTAAACAGGATTCTCACCAATCACAAGGCTGATATGTTTTTTTTATCCTGCCCACACAGCATAACCCCTTAAGTGGCTAGTGCCCGCCAGTAGGCCCAAAGTTTTATTACACACTTCTGTAATCTAAGAAGAGCTCAGCCAGTTTGCACTGACATCTCTGTAGGTCTGGAATAATAAGGCTTTGTATATAATAAGCCTGGGATTTTAAGGGGTTTTTAAGCCAGAGAATCTTAGAAGTAAAAGCTAACCACCAAGCGAAAGCACACCTAGCAAACATACCTGAGCTATACAGGGCCTATTTTAAGTTGTGTTTAGTTCTGCTTCAGTGGTGTAGTAGGATAGGAGTGTTGAGCTGAGGGATCTCAGTCATGGGTGCTCATCTGAAAATTAGGCCACGCCCAGATAGTTCTCAGATAAGTGGTTCTTAAGCAGTGTTTTATCATATTTCTTGTATTTTTTCAAACTTTGCTGATTGTTTAACCCCTTAAATGGCCGGGGCCCAGTGGTGTGCCCGAAGTTTTATTACACACCTAAGAATAATTTACACTGAAGTCCCTGTAGTTACTGAATAATAAGCCTTAGTATGTAATAAGCCTGGATTTTAACGGGTTAGTGAAACACTAGTAATTTACACTGAGACTTTAAAATCACATCTAGAACAAAAGTAGCAACATTAGTTCTTGTTAACAAGGTGGTGTGCAGAAGTCATTTGGTGGCTCATCAGCTTTGCACAAAGCATGTTCGTACATGAGTTAGATTGTACTCTTCTGCCATCTTGTGGCCAGTGTTAAGCAGTAACACTGATTCCGTAACATTTCAAGATAGTCAGTAAACTTTTGATGAAATCTACATTTACAGAACTTCCCATCTCTGATCACCCACCCACAAACTAAAGACTGGTCTGAGACCCATGTGCACACAGATCAGTGTGTGGGGACCATCAGGAGGGCCGTGTCCAAACTGGAGGAGACCCTGACAGAGGAGATAGAGAAACTCGCAGAAAATGGTTGGTCCATCATCCGTTGTTGTTCTGTAGTTTTCAGAAACTATAGAAATCCATACAGTGACGTACTAGTTTTGATGAATTACAGTAACAAATGTATCACTTTCTTTTCTAATAGAGCTGAAGAGGATTCAGAAGTACTCAGGTACAGTTTGTGTGTAATGTCACTTAACATAAAATGCCATGTTTATACATACTAATCATTTCCATTTTTGTCCAGTTTTGACATATGTGTGGTTTGATGTTTTAAAAGTGCGAGAAAAGTTGTCAATCATTTTCATCTGACTATTTTCCAGCCTCTCTTTAGCGGAGTATTTAAAATTAAACACTCTGTTGTTGTTACTGTACCTTTTTAATTTAAACCAGGGTATAAACAACAGGAAGATGTAGAATTTTGATCCGTTTCAAACAAAGGAAAAAAGTTATGACAAATAAAAGTGGACACTTTTAGAAACCTTAAAGATTCTGCACTGTTTCTTGGTCACTATTCAAATTTAGCCGAATTTGCCATGTTTAAGCTTCAAATTCAAGTTTATTTGTCATTTCCACAAAATGTCAGGACATTCATGCTTTGAAATGCTTGTGGTGAGGCAGAGCTAATCCCTCTACAGCAGGGCAGCATTATATACATACTAAAAACAGTGCAGACAAAATACAAATTAAAAATACAAAAGAAAATACTAAAACTGAAATATTAAATATGCATAAAATATACACGAAATATAGTTTTGGCCGCTTAGTTTCTATTAGACAGTGGAATGAAATGATGTTCATATACTACATGACATGTTTCCTTCATAACGCGACATAAAATGATCTTTTTCATCTTCTTTTTGAAGTGGACGTGACCCTTGACCCTGACACGGCCAATCCATGGCTGCAGTTGTCCGAGGACAGGCGCCAGGTGCGTCACCTGGGGGCATGGCAGGACCTACCGGACAACCCTGAGCGATTCGACACGGTGGTCATCACCCTGGGCCGGGAGGGTTTTACCTCTGGCCGTCATTACTGGGAGGTACAAGTTGGCGAAAAGGACGACTGGTACCTGGGCTTGGCCCGCGAGTCGGTCAACAGGAAGGGGCGGATTGCGGTGAGCACGTCTCAAGGCTACTGGGCGCTGGCTATGAAGAAGGGGCAGGGGTACCGAGTGTCCTCCTCCCCGCCCCTCCTTCTCTCCATCGAGCCCAAGCTGAAGAGGGTGGGTGTGTACGTGGACTTCGAGGAAGGACAGGTTTCGTTTTACGACGTACTGACGAGAAGCCACATCTACACCTTCATGGACTCCTTCAGAGAGAAGCTCTACCCCTTCTTCTACCTGTACTGCTGCGATAAGGCCTCCGACACGCTGAGCATCTGCCCTGCGATGGACAGAATGCCCAACAAACAGTGCTGAGAAAGGGGGGGACACTGATGCGAGGAAGATGTTGGCGCTGATTAGTATCTACACTTTTAGAAATAAAGGTACCAAGAAGGGATCTTTAGAGCGACGCCATAGAAGAACCACTTTTGGTTCCTTAAAAAAAACTTTCACTTTTGTAAAGGAGTTGTGTGATGGTGAAGAACCTTCTTAAAGTTTAAAGAACCCCCACATTCAAGGAACAACCCCTAAATTGGAGTGGAGCATTTACATTATGTAAAGGTTCTCCATATCGTTCTTTGGGTGGCATTGCTCAAAGAAACCTTTGTGGCGCCTTCTCTTAAGATCAGCAAATAGGGTTCTGTACAGTATCAAGAAAGGTTCTATGACTTGTAACACAGTGGAGCCCTATTTGGTGAAATAAAGAAGCATTTCTTAGAACCATAAATGACATCATAGAGAAGAACCACTGTGTATGAGGTGTGTGAGTGTGAAGAACCTTCTTAAAGTTTAAAGAACCTCCACGTTCAAGGAAGAAGCCTTAAATTGGTGTAGAACATTTACATTATGTAAACGTTCTCCATATCGCTCTTTGGGTGGTTCTTCTGTGGCATTGCTCAAAGAAACCTTTGTGGCGCCTTCTCTTAAGACCAGCAAGTAAGGTTCTGCATAGTATCAAGAAAGGTTCTATGACTTGTAGCAACACTGGAGCCCTATTTGGTGAAATAGAGAAACATTTTTAAACGATCCTTTGAAGAACCAGGAATGACATCATAGAGAAGAACCATTTTTGACAATTAACATGCCAAAAAGGGGTCTTTAGAGCAACGCCATAGAAGAACCACTTTTGGTTCCTAAAAAACCCTTCAATGGTTCTTTGAAAAACCACTTCTGTAAATGAGATGTGTGAGTGTGAAGAACCTTCTTAAAGTTTAAAGAACCTCCACGTCAAGTAAACGTTCAAGGAAAAACCCCCTAAACTGCTGTAGAACATTTACATTATAAAAAGGTTCTCCATATCACTCTTTGGGTGGTTCTTCCATGGCATTGTTCAAAGAAACCTTTGTGGCACCTTGTCTTAAGATCAGCAAATAGGGTTCTGTATAGTATCAAGAAAGGTTCCATGATTTGTAACGACAGTGGAGCCCTATTTGGTGAAATAGAGAAGCATTTTTAAACGATTCTTTGAAGAACCATGAATGACATCATAGAGAAGAACCATTTTTAAAAATGGGTCTTTGGAGCGACACCATAGAAGAACCACTTTTGGTTCTGTAAAAAAACCTTTCAATGGTTCTTTGAAGAACCACTTTCGTAAATGAGGAGGTTGTCTGAACAAGAAGCCATAAATTGGTGCAGAACCCTTAGATTATTCCCAAAGAACCTTTATTGGCACTTTCCGGTTGAGTGTACACTCTCAGCCAAAAAGGGTTTCATGTAGTGTCAAGAAAGGTTCTATGACTTGGAACAACAGTGGAACCATTTTTGGTGCTTTAAAGAACCACTTTTTAAAAGATTCTTTAAACTATCATGTATGACATCATAAAGAAGAACCATTTAACCAAAAAAGGAGTGCTTAAAGGGATGATTTACTCGCTATAAAATTATGTTACACATTAATCTCACATATGTTTTTAAATGTATGAAGGTGATTATTTTTATTATTGTTATTATTATTGTGCCCAGTAATTTAACAGCGTCTCCTCTTGGCTGATTGCAGTCAGGCATAGTACGGTTTACTGCATGCGAAAATTAGAACATGTGCAAAAATAAACTGTGATAAGAAAAACACAAAGTTGAGTTGCCATGTTTTTATGATGTGTTTATGATGAATGAATGACTGTGTAATTAAACGTTACAGTGAGTTTCTGTTGTCTGTTTAACGCAGTGATATGAGTCATCAGTCTAAAGGTCTCAGTCTAAGTGCTGTCAGTAACACCTTAACTGTGCGTAGGTGGAGAAACATACCTGGAAAACGAAACTACTTCATGTACTGGGTAACAGTGAAAGTACACGCACAGTAACGCAGCCATGGAAACGTATGCAGGTACAGACAGCTGTCTCTACAGAACAGGGAAGTAATTATCTCGGTCCTTTTAAAAGAAACGAAACTAAAGCAGTGAAACTCAAAAGAAGAGAGAGGGGAGGAGAGAGAGGCAGACAGCAGGCTGGGAAGAGTGAGAGCGAGAGAGAGAGAGTGAGAGTGAGAGAGAGAGAGAGACAGACAGCGACAACGAACGCTTTGACACTTTTTTGACAAGGTAAATGTGACTCTCTTTATTAATCTGACTGCCTGATAAAGTGTGTCATGATTGTAATGTGTCTTTCTATCTATCTATCTATCTATCTATCTATCTATCTATCTATGTATGTATGTATGTATCTATATATGTATGCATGTATGTATGTATGTACGTATCTATATATGTATGTATGTGTCTATGTATGTATGTATCTATGTATGTATGTGTCTATGCATGTATGTATGTATGTATGTATGTATGTATGTATGTATGTGTCTATGTATGTATGTATGTATGTATCTATGTATGTATGTATGTATCTATGTATGTATGTATGTATGTATGTATGTATGTGTCTATGTATGTATGTATGTATGTATGTGTCTATGTATGTATGTATGTATGTGTCTATGTATGTATGTATGTATCTATGTATGTATGTATGTATGTGTCTATGTATGTATGTATGTATCTATGTATGTATGTATGTATGTATGTATGTGTCTATGTATGTATGTATGTATCTATGTATGTATGTATGTATGTATGTATGTGTCTATGTATGTATGTATGTATGTATGTATGTATGTATCTATGTATGTATGTATGTATGTATGTATCTATGTATCTATCTATTTAGCACTGTGTGTAAGTGAATGAATGTGAATCCTGGAAAGCTAAACAGCTTCATGTATTTTCTTAGCTTCATAACACTTAAAGTTCACACACTGTATGGTAATTTGGAGGAAATGAAACTAAGATAGTGAAACTCAGAGCGAGGAAAGGCGGCGCCTGCCTGGTGAAGTGTTTTTCTTCTTTGCAGTGTGATCTGTCACAAACTTAGGTCACATTAGCTTATTAAAATGAACAGGGATCTGATTTCAAAGCTTGTTGAGTTAACTCAACTTAGTTTAGTCAAAGGTTCTCCTAACTTACATTTTTAGTACTGCATTTCAATTAGGCCAACAAAAACCTGGGTCAACCAAAAAAAAAAAAAAAAATCTTCTTCAGTTTCATATCTTCAGGCCTGTATTCAGTGTGTGACCATGTGTCATGTGATACAGGACAGGTTAGGCTGTAAAACAACTCACCTTGTTAGCCCTGCCCATCGCCCGCAGCCTTCCTCACACTGTAAGCTGATCTTACATGAGCCACCCTGCTGATCTCTACCCACAGCTCCAGCAAACCCTCCCCGCTTCAGACATGGCCACGGATTCCTTCAGACCAGCCGCCCTACCTGACGCTTCCCTCCGCACCTCTCTCAGGGTAAATCTGACTTTCTATATGAATGTTATTTTCTGATAAACGAAGGTGTTTATGTTCTTCTGATTAGGTTAAGGAAACGAGCGCGTTCAGCAAACAGTTGTTGATGTAGATCTATTGCTCATAACAAAAAAATCAGTTTAATTTCTTTAGTCTTGTGTTCAGCATGTCAGCGTGTCTCGTGTTATTCAGGTTAGGTTAGATGTGTGTGCAGTTCAGCAGTATTAATTAAATGGATGTTAAAGGGACGTCTAATCTCTACCAACAGACATGGCAGACCACTTCAGATCCGATCTTTGGACCCTTCCAATCAACAACACCTTTTGGTTTCTCTCTTCAAACGTTTGACCGAGTAAATATATATCATACATATAATATCATCGCCTGATAAACTGTGTCTGCTTTTAGCAGTGTATCTTTGTCTGTCTGTCTGTCTATCTGTCACTGTAACTGCTTGTCTGTCTATCTTTCTGCCTGCCTGACAGTCTGTTCACCTATCTGCTTGTCTGTGTTTCTATCTGTCTATCATTCTGTTTGTCTGCCTGTATATCTGCCTGTCTGCTGCTGTCTATTACTCTATATATCTACTTGTCTGCCTACCTGTCTATTTATCTGCTTGTTCATTTGTCTGTCTGTCTGTCTATCTATGTGCTTGTCCATCTATCAGTCAGTCCATCTCTCTATCTGCTTGTCTGCTTGCCTGTCTGTCTGTCTTTTTTGTGCTTTTTTGTCTGTCTATCTGCTGGCATGTCTATTTCTCTATCTATCTGCTTGTCAGCCTACCTGCCTGTCTGTCTATCTGTCTGGCTTTCTGTTAGTCTGTCTATCTGACTATTTATCTGCTTGTCCATCTGTCTGTGTGTCTATCTACCTGTCTGTCTGTCTGTCTGTCTATCTATCTGCCTCTCTGCTATCCTGTCTATCTGTCTGCTTGTTTGTCTGTCTGTCTGCCTGTTCGCATGCCTGTCTATCTATCTGTCTGTTTGCATGCCCATCTGTCTGTCTGTCTATCTGTCTATCTATCTGCATGCCTATCTGTCTGTCTATCGGTCTACCTACCTGTCTGTCTGTCTTTATCTGCCTGGTTGCATGCCAGTCTGACTGTCTATCTGTCTACCCGTCTGTCTGCATGTTTGCATGCCCTTTTGTCTGTCTATCTATCTGTCTGTCTGTATATCTGTCTCACTGTCTGTCTGTCTGTCTGTGTGTCTGTCTATCTACCTGTTTGTATATCTGCTTGTCTGCTATCCTGTCTATCTGCCTACCTGTTTGTCTGTCTGTCTATCTACCTGTCTGTCTAGCTGTCTTAAAGTAGTCTTAAACAAACCACAGCGCTGATCTCCTCCAACAGCTCCGGCAAAGTTCCACCACCTCAGACTCAACCACGACTTCCTTCAGATCAGCCACACCTTCTGATGCTCCTCTACCGGACACACCCGTACCCATCTCCCACCTCATCACCTGTTCCATCTGCATGGATGTGCTGGGCGAGCCCGTCACCACCACCTGTGGCCACACCTTCTGTAAGCCTTGCCTGGACCGCCACCTGACTCTCAACGACCTGGTGTGCCCTCTGTGCAAACAGTACCTGTCGATGAGGCCGAACGTGAATATCGTGCTGAAATCTATTCTGGAGGAGTACAACAAAGCCCAGAAGAGCCCGGAGGAGTTCGCTTTGGCACCAGACGAGGTGGCTTGCGACATCTGCCCCGAGAATCGCAAGCGTAAAGCGGTCAAATCCTGCCTGATGTGTCTGCTGTCGTACTGCACTCGCCATCTGAAAAGACACCAAAATAAGCTGCGACTGAAGGGCCACAAGCTGGTGGCTCCGGTTGAGAAGCTGGACGAGCGGGCGTGCTTGGCCCATGGCCGGCCTCTGGAGCTCTACTGGGCCAAAGAAGACAAGTGCATCTGCAGCCTGTGTGTAGAGGAAGCGACAGAGGTGGTGTCTGTGGAAACTGAAAGAGGCAGGAGGGAGGTAAGAGGGACAAGACTGATGTTATGTGTCAGTTAAATCAAGGATCATACACAGAATCTGTTAATTGCCTTTAGATTAAAGTTGCTAAAGATTGCTGTGACCATGTGTTAGTAATAGTAATGATGTTTTAAACACAGTAAACACTTTTCCTGTAGCAGTTTTAGGCTGAATCCAAGCTGCTGGCTCACTGTTGCTATGACTGACTGTAGCCCTCTTGTTCATGCATGGAGAGATTTTGTAAATGAGGATGCAAATGTGTGTGTGTGTGTGTGTGTGTGTGTGTGTGTGTGTGTGTTTCTTTACAGAGAGAGCTGGGCGATGTTATACAAGACATTGAACAGAGAATACAGCAGAGGGAGGAGAAAGTGAAGGAGTTTGAGCGTTCAAAAGCAAACTGTCTGGTGTGTCTCTATAACATATACATCATACAGTTCACCATAATGGTTTACACTGGGGGGGGCGAGTGACCTCATTCCTGGAAGGTTACATTTGCTCTTAAGAATATTTGTTAATTATCAAGTGTTCCCCAAAAAACCTTCCTGAATAAAGCACCACCCAAACTCATCAGTGAATTAACAACAAGCGCAACCTATTTGTTATTCAAAAAGTGCTGTTTTAGTTGGATTTTGCATGCAATTTTGCACCAAAACAGCAGAGGTCGCTAATTTGAGCGCAAACAAAGTATATAATAATATTGATGACAACAACAATAACAAAAATAATATTAATAATAATAATAATTGAAATCCTTAATAACAATAATCCTCATCATATTAATATAATTTATTTTTTATATAATCATTTGCAATAATGACATATAATGATACATTTTAGATGATGATGATGATGATGATGATAATAATAATAATAATAATAATAATAATCATCATCAAGACAACCCTTATAGATAATAGTAATAATAATAATAATAATAATAATAATACCATTAGAATTATCACCATCAATAGCAAAAATCCTCATAATAATATAACGTTGCATTTTAATATAACAATATATAGCACTGAAATATAGTAATGCTTTTATAGTAAACATTATTATTATTATTATTATTATTATTATTATTATTATTATTATTATTGTTGTTGTTGTTGGCTAACCCTTGTAGTAGATAATAATAACAATAACGTCAGTAATGTCCTGGCCTTGTGCTAGGCCACCTCCAGCCACTAGGGGGAGACAAGGCACCACTAAGGGGTGAGCAGTAACAGTGGGCACCCTACTTAGGGGGTTTTCACATGCTGCTTTCTGCATGTTCTTCTATTGTTACAGGCTTGACATTGCAACAATAGAAGAACCCTTTTTGGTGCTATGTAGAACCCTTCTCAAAACGGTTCTATATAGAACCATAAATAAAACACTCTCCACCAATCTGAAGACGACGCAAAGAACCATTTAATCATGCAAAGGGTCCTTGTTCATGGTTCTATATAGAACCATTTTCTTCACTAAAGAACCCTTGAAGAACCATCATTTTTAAGGGTGTGGTTTGCCAGTGGTGACCTACTATATAGAGAGATTCTGCATATTTGCCATGTTTTGTATAACAAACAAAACATTTCCGTTTGGTTTATGCATCATATTTCACACATGCACACCTATTTAAAGCATCCCTTTAAAAGGTTTCCCTTTAAAAGAAACTGAAAAGTTCACTAAAGAAGAGAAGCAAAAGCCAGCACTGACGCCCTCTGCTGGTCAAACCCTTACAGGCTCTGATTGATCGAGAGCAGGAGGAGATAAAAGAGGTGTTTGATGCTGTGAGGGAGACGGTGGCCAGAGCAGAGGAGGAGGCGCTGAGCGCGCTGAAGGAGAAGAGGAGGAGTGTGGAGAACGAGGAGAAACAATTCAAGCAAGAGCTGCAGAGAGAGATCACTACGTTCTCCAAGACCATCGCTGACCTGAAGAAGATCGCAGTGGAAGAAGACCACATCCTCTTCCTACAGGTCAGCAACTAACCACAAGTCTGCTGTGGGCCTACATTAAGAGCTGAACACAGGTCAGACCATGGGCTGTAGTACAGATTCCTGAGTCTGAAATCTGATCAGTTTTATCAACTTTAGTTAAGACTGAATTTAGAAGAGAAGCTATTAAAGAACAACAGTTCTTAATCGTATCCATTAACTGTTGATGATGAGTCGTCAGATGAAATATTACAGTGATGGTGGTGAATGATGAGGAGACAGAGCTGAACGTGTGTCTGTTTATCAGGAGGAGTAATGTTAGCGCGCTCGGCTAAAGCGTTTGGGAAATGGAGACTGAAACTGCAGAGCGGCGACACTGATGAACAGAACAAAGCGCTTAACTTCAAGTTTATCATGCTTTAGTTTTGTTTGAGTAACGGTAGCTAATGTTAGCTGTCTGGCTAACTAGCTTGATTACTTTGATTGCGTGTTTACGTTTCAGCTGAGCGCGTATGGTTGGTTGCTAGGTAACAGACATGGCAGTTGATTGTCGACTTTGATCGAGTAAGTTAAGATTTCTTAACTTGAGGTAAGATGCTGTGAGATACCATAAGATTCCTAAATGAAGATAAGATTTGCGTCTGTAATACAAATTGGTGAAAAATCTTATCTTGACCTGTCAGATCTTAACTTAAGACAAAAAAAATAGGAAGTTTCTGTAATTCGGCCCCAAGACTATGTTGTGCTACAGGTAGGCCTGGGCCAACTCAGACTGATTAGTCAAATAAGAGAAGAATCCCTGATACCAGTCATCAAATCCATGACAAATCAATGCTAAAGTAACATCGTTCATTGAATCAGTGTTGATTCTTAATCACTTTTGTACCCTGAATTAATAATGTAAACACCATTTAAAGTTGAACCAAAATTCAACAGAACATTAATGCTACCCATTTTCTAACCCTTGGAGCATCTACAGCAACTTTCCATTGGTTTCTTTCTTTATTCAGATTTACTGAACAACAAGATACCAAGAAGATGCTTTGAAATACTATCACTTTTCAATAGTGCAGATTTAGTCACATACTCCAAAATGTAATTCACAAACACCACATGACCAGTTTACTTCACAAGCTCTCCTTTTTCTTTTGGTGCCTTATTCACCAACCACTCTTAAGAAGAAATCCATCTTAAAACCCACTTCTGCAGGTTTTACCAAGATTCTGACATTCACCAGTATTTTCTTATCTGGGATTCTACACACACACTTGAGCACAATTCTGCAGTTTAAGAACACGTCAAGAATTCGACGTAGTTTTTTTCTTAGGATCTTTCTCGAGGGCCTTTCTTAGTTCTTTCTCAAGAGCAAAATGAAGAAAAAAGACATTAGTGAATGAGGCCCAATGTTTTTAACCAGTTGTACAAGAGGAATATTCCGTTTTCTCTCTATTGTGTCAAAAGCAGCAGACACATTTCTCTCTTACAGAAACAAACTGTGAGGGGAACTTAGGCACAGCATGCATGAGAGTTCATGTTGGCGTGTCCGTCACATGATCTCACGGCCTACTGTAAATCAATGTTTTCGGCTTTATTACTACCAGCAGTAAAAGCTTGTGACTTTTATTTTGCAGTCAACTATAAATCCATGTGTGTTCAACGTTGTTGGGGCCAGTGTTAGGACTTTCACTGATAGTTTAACATTGAATCAACACTATGCTGACACTGAAATTTCACCCTTGAACAAAAATGATGACTCTAATGGAGAATCAATAATGGATAAATGTCAAGATAATGGAATTTGATTGGTTTTCTGTGAGTGTTTTTACTGTATTATAGCCAGTGTGGTCTGCATCATGCCTGAACATGCAAGGCGTAGTCCCATCCCATAGTCCCATAGTCACTGCTTAGCAACTGTTGCAGTCCACCATTGCCTCAAGCCTTCGGTTCTTTGTCAGCGTGTCAGTTTTGAATTTAAAGCTGTAATCAAAAGATACCTGGGAGCTGTAAAAGTGGCTCACCTCCCCTCATTCAGCTAATCAATGATTTTTGAAGGCAATAATTAGATCAGGTGGGGTTGATTAAAGTTGTAGCTGAAGTCTGCAGGAAGCAGGGCTGGTGATCACTGTTCTATGCATTGATTGTTTCATTGGAACTAATGATGTTGATTCTCGGTTATTTAGATTTATCCCTCTGTCCCAGCGCCAGACAATGGAAAAGACTGGACTAATGTTGCCATGGATACAGCCTTGACTTTTGGCACGTTGAGGAACACACGGACAACCATGATGTCTGATATTGAGACTGAGCTGGAGAAACTCTCCAATATTGGTGAGGGAAACTATTTTCGGCTCCGTTAGAGACATTACCAAAGTTTCCCAAACTCGTTTTGCTATTGCATATGTAAGTGTGATCATTTTTTGTTTCTCATTTGCCTTATAGAAATTGAGAGGATTAAGAAGTTTGCAGGTAAGCATTATAATGCCATTACAATGCTAATTATAAGTATCACGTAAAGATAAAATAGAATTATATTTAGTTAAGTTTTCTGTGTTATTTTTTTGTTAAATGTTGGATGAATTTTCTTGTACTCAATGGCCATTTTGGCTGGAAATTCAATAAATGAAGGGTGGTCTTTGACTTTTACCCAGTACTGTATGTCTTTGACTTAATAGCACAAATGTGTCATTGACCAAAAGTTTAGAAAATGCACCTTTGACAGAATTTCTCCACTCGATTTATTGATTTAATGATTAACTCATTACTTATATCATCAACTTCTAAAGGTTAAAGACATCACAGCCATTCATAGTTTAATTTAAGACATGTTAAGCCACCATTGCTACTGTACATAGGATACATCTCACGTCTCATCTCACATGTTGTCTGATCTTTCAGTGGACGTGACTCTGGATGCAGACACTGCTTATGCTCAGCTACTGGTTTCTGATGACGGCAAAGAAGTAAGTGACTCTGGAGAAAGGAAGGATGTTCCCGACATCGCTGAGAGGTTCGATATGTTCGGCAGTGTCTTGGGCCAGAACGGGCTCACCGAGGGCAAGGCCTTCTGGGTGGTGGACGTCGGGGACAAAAAAGGGTGGGATATTGGGGTGGCAAGAGAGGAGGCCAACAGGAAGGGGAAATTGTCCCTCAAACCAAGCCAAGGCTACTGGGCCATTGTGCTTTACAATGGGGATCAGTACGCAGCTCTGGAAGACCCTCCGACTCTGCTCTCTCTCCCAGACAAGCCCCAGAAAGTGGGAGTGTTCGTGGACTACCAGGAGGGGCTGGTCTCCTTCTATGATATGGAAGCCAAAAATCACATTTACTCATTCACTGACTGTGTGTTCAATGAAGTGATTCGGCCCTACTTTAGCCCTCATTTTTGTCAGGGTGGTGATAACTCAAGCCCACTGGTCATTTGCCCTGTCGATCACAGTGACTGAATTCTCTAGTTAATTGTACAGGCAAGTTTAGGCTGACTGTAAAGTTACAGTTATACGCAAAAGTTTAAATACCTCTGGTTAGGTTTCAAGTTGATTTTCTAAGTGAAAATAGGCTAACACATCCTCGATAGAGAATACAGTTAAATATGCCATTTTTCTGGTAATTTTAGGGCACAATTTCTGCTAGTTTTACCATATTGAAAACAATATTAAACTTTTTATGTTAAATTTTTTTCCCCAATATGTTAAATTCAGCAAATAAACAGTAATTTTGCATTGAAATGTGCAGAAGTTTGTTCTGATGTGTTTACCTACCTTCAATTACAAAATCAACAGAACTTGTCATTTGACCAGGGCGCCTAAACTTTTGCATATGATTATATGTTGCACAATGTCATTGGCGGAGCTGTAAATGTAAGAAACAGTCAGTAATACAGGCAAAAGCAAGTTATGTGCCTGCAAATCTATAAAAAATATTAATTTTAAATATATTTTAGATATAGGTATAATAAATATATTTCTTTATGTTGCTTGTATTAGTTTACATTTTTAGTGGCAATTTCCCTCGATTATTTATACATATATTTTGATGATAAATGAAGTAATGTTATTTTTAAGGCCATGCAATATCAATAACCTTAACTGAGCTATAACATACAATTACGTCTTTGTAGGATTCCAAAATACTAGAAAGCAATAAAAAGCCTATATGGAAAATATTGAAAATGAATTCTCAGGTCATGCTCAGGTATCAGCAAATGCAACATTTTAAAAGTGAGTTTTAGTGTTAAGAACTGTGAAATCTTCAGAAAGATTTAGTGCTAGTTTGAGCCAGTCATTTTATAAAATTGTCACAAGTGTCCTTAATATTTTATAGCAATAAATATTCTGAGTACCACCCATGTGATTATACTGATTTGTACTGGTTCTATTGGAAATCAAATGTTAAGCTAGCACAAGGCTAATGGTGATGTACATTCACTTCCCATACAAAACTTGGGTTAAAACTTCTTAGGCCAGCTCCACTTAGAAACACTGCCATTTGAAGCATTTGCTGTTCAAAGGGCATTTTCTTTACTTTGTATACAGCAGTTTCACAGCTTCAACCTTCCCCAGACTGAATGATGACAGTGTTCCATTATTGATTTTTCATTTTATTGATTGATTGATTGATTGATCGTTATTTTGGTCGAGGCCCTCAATGGCAGCACTGCGTTGGCAAATGCTTGGTCATGGATGTGGATATTAGCTGTTCTGAACAAAGAACCTATTTAAGGATCTAAGAAATGGAAGTGTCTCATTTTGAAATAATAGTGAGAAAAAGAAAAATGCTCAATGTTAGACTTGATTCCTTGCTTTTATTTTTCAGTGGAACTGAAATATTTTTACACTGTTGAAAAGTTTTTAAAGCTTTTTTACTGTTTTCTTCTCACTCTTGTTAATCTGAATAAAGAAATATTTTGTCGACCAACTGAATTGTAAAACTAATGTTTTACATTTTAGTTTTAGGCCAAAAAGTTTACATTTATTTTACTTTATCGTTAGACTTTTCACAACTTGATACTCGTTCTAGATAAAGCAGAGATCAACAATCAGGGTGCAAAATTGATCAAGAATCAAACCAGATCTGATCAGATTAATATTAGCAATTTTGCTTCATTGAAGTCATCACTGATGCATTAAGTTTGTTTTAATGGTCGCTTAATGAGTGACTACCTGAAAATTACCGGAGGAGCCTGTTAGCCAGTTAACCTAATTAAACAAAAGCTTTTACTTCATATACGCTTCATATACTTTTTTCCAATTTTAGCATTTTATCTCACATACTAGCAACTGGTAGCAACATTTATGAAATCCTGCTGGTGTGGGTTTCCTCTCTTCTAATGATGCACACAGTAGCAATTTAAAGGGTAACACCTCCCCCTTGTGGTGACTGTTTAGATTGATGAACATTACTTTAAAATGACCTGCAAATACCCCGTTTATCATTCATTTTCTTTTTCTTTAGCAAGTAATTTAGTGATTTAGTGATTTTAATCAATCATGACAGCCCTGCTGTCTACAAATGCATAGCCGTGTTGCTTTTTTCACAGTATAATAACATATTCTCAACAATTTAAAACAATATCAGCATCTTAAAAGTGGTCAGAAAGTTGTTTTGCGCTCTTGAAACGTGAAAGAATCATTTGTTGAGAATTAATTCAGTGTAGAGTGTCCAATACTGAGGAAACCCAACTTAAAATTGTACTTTGCAATAAAACATCCTTTAGCAATGGCTCAGAGTGTAAGACCATTAACTGATTCTTATCATCGTGTATATCGATGTGCAACCATGAAGTTGTGCTTGTAAAAGAATAGAAACGGATTGTGTTAAACCTACTACACCAGTCTCGATGAATAAAAGAGCTGCCGTTAAGTTTCTCTATTTTGGGTCGATCTTGCTTTAGTAATAATGAGTGATTTGAGTGATCATGACAATACGGTAGATAAATGTTCAGTTAAGCATATTCAAATGTGTGAGTTTCAAGACCATAGAAACATTCAGCCGTGGTTGACATGTGAGACTGTAACACCACTTCAACATAGGGGAGGGTGGAGAGTGAGACGAGTGGAGGACAGAAGTATAAAGTCTGAAGACGCCCTGTGCACATCAGGCTTTCGGCATTTTGGCCCAACTGAAAGTTTCCAGAGTAACTCAACAAACAGCAAAGGTAAGCTTGTTGTAATTAGCTGGAGGCTTTTTGTGCAAAGAGCTGTTAAAAATTCTGAAAATGTATCCAAAATTAGTCACTGATTGAAATGATAAGCAGTCATACACTATATCAACTACACCCTCAGTTTGAGGGGATATGAGTCTTGCTGTACTATATATCAAAATTCAAAATTCCAAAAGTAGTATTTTTTTTCTGAGTTCTTGCTTTTTCCTATGTCATACAAAGATGCTACGTGATTTACTTATTCATCTGCAACTATTCATATAATCATCAGAGATGGGCTGAGTAGACTAAACCTACACTCAAGTAAAAGTATTGTAAGTAATTACTTCAATGAGACGATGAATCCAGTAGACTTTTTCCAAAAACCTGAGCAGAAGAAAAATTAGGTATGTAAACGATTTACTAATTAACTGTTAACCAAACAAAAGGAACTGTTCGACCAATGCTATTGGGTAAAAAAACTCATTTAAGTTGATTTAATGTCCGAAACAACAGTTCCTATTTGAATAGGAAGGTTGATCATTCATGTAATGTTCTGAATTGTGTGCATGAGTGTACAATAGGCAAAAAATGAAGCATGCATGTAAAAATAGTGCTGTTCAGAACCCTCTTTTGGAAAAAAACAATTTATATCGAGTATATTGAAAGCAACTATATCGCTGCTGTCGGAACAAAACCTTGTATCTCCAGAATGGTAACTTTACAGGAGAAAGAAAAAACGTACTTTACGTCTAATGTAAGTCAATGGAACCAGACTTTTTTCTTGGTAATTTTGGGCTGTTTCTTTTGGTCCATTCATTGCAAGATTTACGCACAATGTAAAGGGCAACAGGCATTTTCAGATTATGTCAAAAACTAAAAAACGACAAAAATGGTGATACAAGGTTGTTCCAATACATATACAATACGATATACAAGACAGACAATTCTTTGAGAGAAAGGAAAGATGTGGTGGATGGTGATGACTTTTGAGAGCAACTGAGGTACTTTGAAGCAAAGCTAGCCTCAGTCATGGCTTTTATGTTTGTTTTCAGTTGGGCTGGTAATGAGGGGTAAACTTTAGAACTTTAGGATATAGAGGTTTCAGTTGCTAACACTGTATTTCTTTTTAGTTTTTGGTTATTTAATTATGAACATACTTTCATTGTGAATCCTTTAGTTAAGCAAAAATACGCTCTTATGAAAGACATGTTTAACATGGCTTTAGACTGTTAACTATCAGTGTTATGTTCCAAGGTTCATCTCATCGCATTATATAGAATTTGGTTGATATGTACAATCTTAAGTGCGAGTATAGGCTATCAAGCATTTCACAGCAGCTTTGAATATAACTCAATCAGTCTGCTTCTAGATCTGTAAGTTTCTATTGCCATTTAATAAATAAACTTTTATCAGTTAAAAGAATTTGCCAAAATGTATGTCTATAATAAGGACTCAGTACCTCATAGAGCTGCAGGTGTGAGTTCTTAGTACATACAGCATCCATCAGCATGGGAACTGAAGTTTGTTAGGTGTTTTTTTTTTCTTTTTGAGAATGTTTTGGTCTGAAATAAAATGCCAAACTCCAAAATGAGAGGTGTTAGCAAAAGCAAAGCAATATAGATGCTGTCACCAGTGTAACATAATGAAATGAAGCTTAAAAAGGGTTAAGGAGCTTAAAGTCAATGACTAATATGTGACTGGGTGAAGTTTATGCTCTTCACAAGTATGAGAAGATGTAAAGTGTTATCATTTGCTTTTTTGAGGGTAAATGTGAAATGCATGTTAACCAATCTTACAACAATGCAAGGAACATATAATAGCCTATAATATATCTATAGTATATAATAGACTCACAAATCACTGTTTTCAATAAAATGTTGAAATTGCTTCAAATGATGACAGCTGGGTGGCGCTGTCGCCTCGCAGCAAGAAGGGTCTGGGTTCGATTCCCCGGCCGGGTGACCAGGGTCCTTTCTGTGTGGAGTTTGCATGTTCTCCCTGTGTCTGTGTGGGTTTCCTCCCGCAGTCCAAAGACATGCAGTCAGGCCAATTGGAAATAAATCGTCCATAGGTGTGAATGTGTGCATGAATTTGTATGTCTGTATGTCTGCCCTGTGATGGACTGGCGACCTGTCCAGGGTGTTTCTTGCCTTCCGCCCAATGACCGCTGGGATAGGCTTTGATGGTTGTTGGTTATTTTTGTATAGCTAATAACTTTCTTTCTTCTTTCTCAGAATGAAGAGTGTTCTGCTTCTCACTCTGGTTATAAGTCAAGGTTGGATTACTGGCCACTGTGAAGACCACAACAAGACCTACTCTGACCATAACAACTATCCATGCTTGCGTGCTCCTAACATCACTGCCTACAAAACCTTCTTGATCAGACATTTAATCCTGAAAGATTTTAATGTTGAGCAAAGCTCAGCATGGGCGAACTACTTAAACAGGTGGGGCCTGTGTGGTCAGACAGGGTCCAGCGCTCAGTCCTTCTTCCAGTTTGGAGACAGAGAGGATGTCATAAACATCTGCAATGGACAGAGCATTTGGGAAAGAGGCAACTTGTGCAAGAGCATAAAAGCATTTGACATATATCTCATTGAGAGTAAAAGACTGTACTGGGCATGTTACGTTACGGGAATAACACGGAAGCATTCTGTCTATGCCATTGTGGCCTGTGATCTTTTTATTGGACATGTTTGTCTTCCTGTTCACTATGAAGGACAGGACACAACTGCACCCAATCGTAATCAGCAGCTCTGTGGGCCGCGTATCCCATAAAACCTGAATGTTCACTCATTATTTTGCTAGTATAAAGCGTCTTTACGAAAGCAGCTCTTATCACAGATGTGATGGGTTTGGGGCTGAGGGGTCCGCAGGAGTTTCAGGATTGCTTAACTCTAACTGCTAAAAATAATTTTAAAAAAATAAAAGACGTTAACTTTTTCAATTGAATTTAGTTTGTGAGTGTGCTTTTTATTTATTTATTTATTTTTTTTTGTTTGTTTTTTAAACTTCTATGACCTTTTTTTGAGTTTTTTAAAACTATTATTTCTCCCTGTCAGTGTGTTTTGACTACAGTTGTAAACAAAAGTTTGGACACCCATGGCCTAACTGCACATTTTGTTGATTGTGAAGTGAAAAAAAGGAACCAACCTGTAAAAACCATATTAGTTGACTTTAGTCAATTGACTTATTAGACAAGGCAAAAGCTAATGATAATTCCAGAGCATAATAAATTATCTTTATCCAACCATGGGCTCCTCTAAGCAGTTACTAATTGATGCCTACAAAGCAGGAGAAGCTTATAAAAATATATGAAAGAACTCAATTTCCACTGTCCAATATCATTAAGACATGGCAGGTAAGGGGACCTGTGGCAGTCAAGGCAAAATCAGGAAGAACAAGAAAACTCTCAGATAGAACTGCATGTATGCTGGCCAGAAAGGCAAAGCAAAACCCCCAAATGACAGCAATGAATTGCAGTAAGGTTTAGCTCACACAGAAGTGATGCTGCATCGTTCTACTGTGTAGCAATGCCTGTACAAACATGATCTGCATGGAGGAGCCATCAGAAGGAAGTCTTACTTGCAACGGTATCACAAAAGTCATTGTCTGAAGTAAAAACAACATCTTGATTAACCAGAGGGATTTTAGAAACAAGCGCTGTGTGCTGAAGTAAAAATGCAAAATACAAAAGTGAAAAAGCTAATTAAGAAGAATGAGGACATATCTGATCAGGTGCACAGTGAG